AGAATACAAGTACCAGTGAGTCCCATGGGAGAGACTTGATCATGCAGAGGTATGATCGAAGCAGTTGGAGGGTTGGACTGCTCTAGAGCCCATATTCGCTTAAGGGAGCCTAACAAGTCAGAGGACAAGGTCGAGTAAGCGAACGTTGCTACCAAGGAAGCTAAGGAGAACAGAATCGGTGCAAATCCTACAACGTGATGGCAGAGGCCATGCTTGGGAGTTGTAGTCTGTCTTTCCATCGACCAAAGGGAGCTGCTTAGAGAAACATAAGTGTTGAAGCACGGGGTCGAAAGGGTCGAGGAAGCGACGATGAGTCCAGAGGGACTTAGCTACCCAAAACCAAGCATCAGTTAAAATGGAGGTGGACTCGGAGGAGTGCCACAGAGACATATCTACTGATCGTGAAGAAAAGGGATGCAGATGCAAGGCGACGGATAGTAGGGCCATGGGCATGGCAGCGCCATGGTACCGTAGAGGCGGGACTTCCATAAAAGTTAATGATCCCTTGCTCTCATGGAGGGAGAGCGCTTGGTCGTGAAAGGGGCCGAGGAGATGGAGCATGCAGAGGCAAACTCCAAGTACCGAGACAAGGCTGAAGGGCAGAGGCCAAGGAACTTCATAAGACCGGTGTCAACGAGCTTCTCATCAAGATAGCCGAAAGTGAAGGACTTCGGGTTATGCAAGAGTGCATGACCAAGGAATGAAGCAGGCAGTACGCGGTACTGTACCTTTGCTACTCAGTGGAGTAGGCGGCAGGGTTGATGGAGAAGACGGTACAATCCCAGAGGCGACCAAATCTATTAGAGAATTACTCCAAGTTGGGGTGAAAACTTCTTACATTCTAGAAGTTCGATGGCATTGAGAAGGTGAATCACAGTAACTAACTCAATGCAAGGAGTATAAACACTTCAAGTGCTTCAGAAGTATGAGCAAAGAGTAGGCGAAGACCAGTAACCAACTCGATGCATGGAGTACAACCTCGAGAAGGCGGGCGAAGTCAAGTAACCTTTACCTTCTCAACTCTTAAGAGAATGGGCGAAACCGAGTACCATAATTCTCTTATATATCCAGTAGAGGAGCTCTGCACAGGTTCAAAGACCCTTCGAAGATAACTAAGTGACCCTTTGAAGATAACT